TTCATCTCAGACTTTTTGTTTCATCTCTGGCAATTCAATTTGGTTTTCTTTTTGTAAATTTGATGTCTCACTTTAACATACTCCATGTTATTCTCTGTTTTCTTAAAGATTAAACAAAATTATAGAAACCATTTAATATTCCTGAGTAGTAATTCTATCTGTTCATTTCTGGGTCAGTTTCTATTGATTGATGTTTCTCTTTATTATGGATCTTAGTTTGTTGTTTCTTTGTATGCCTGGTAATTATTAATTGTATGCCAGACATTGTGATTTTACTTTGTTGGGTACTACATATTCTTGTACTATTTTAAATACACTTGAGCTTTGATACAGTTAAGTTCTGTATCAAAGAACAGAACTTTTATAATAAAACATTTTTAAGAATACATAAAATTTTAAAATAAAATGGAAAAATTTGTCACAGTCACAACTGATAGAAAACTAATAAACTTCTAGTTATAAAGAACTCATATAAATTGAAAAGAAAAATAAACCCCAGACTGATAAACAGGCAACAGATATAAACAGATAAAAGATAATTAAAAGAAAAACTAGTCAAATATAGTCAACCTCACTAATAAAAAAAATTGAAATTAAGTACCCATTTTTCATATACTGAGCTAGCAAAGATTTTTTGAAATACTTGTTTCTGATTTAGGATTCTAGTCTCAAGGATCAAATTCTGTGTAAAGATATTCAGTGAATCAATTATAGGTGATAGTGAAAAACTAGACACATGAAAAGTCCAATGACAATGAAGTAATTAGGTGAACAGTGTGTCAATCAGGTACTGATTATACAGAGACAATTGGATTTTAACATTATTTTCAGGAAGTGCCTTTATAAACATAAGAAACATGTTTGTGTGGTAATGTTAAGTAAAAAAACAGAACACAGCTGAGACAAAAACAAACACTGCAAAGAGATTGGAAGTGAGGGCGGGGAGATTTGAGAGTCTATCTTTGGGAAATTGTGTGTATTTTCCTTTAGTGTGATTATACATATTTGAGATTCAATTCTACTGTCTTATTTTGTATTATTATAATGCCTTCTTTTTACTTTTTATCTTCATTTTCACTGCTTTATGTTAGATTGTTTTCTTAGTTTCCTTTTGATTTCTACTGATTTATAAATTATGTATTCTATTTCTTCCCTTTTGGTTATTCCCTTAAAATGGCAACATGCATACATAACTTAAAAACTTTGTCAATCACTATATCCTACCCTCTTCCCTGATAATATCTAGATGGCTTTAACTAAGAGAACCTTCTCCCAATCTTACCTTTTATTGCTGTACATATTTTATTTCTACTTTATTTTTGTACTGTGTGAATTATCCTATTATTTTTTAAAATTTAAATTCAAAGCAAGTTTCAATATATCCATATTTACCAATTTTGTTGCCATTATTTGGACATCAGTGGTTTTTTTTTTTTTTTTTCCATGAATGCTCTATAAATAAATGGTGATGCCTCTCAGTATTTGCTGGAAAATGTCTTTTAATTTGCCCGCTTTTGAGAACAATAGTGTAGCTGGATGAGGAGTAACATTATTCTCTCAGCATTTTGATGATATTATTTCACTGTCTTCTGGTTTTTATTGTTGTTGTTGATGTGTGAATCCTCCAACTTTCTTCTTTCACAAGATTGTTCCGACTATCCTGGGTCCCTTGCATCTCCATATAAGTTTTAGGATGTATTTTCCAATCCGCAAGAAGGGGGCCTATTTAAAGTTTGATAGGGCTTGCCCTGAATCTCTGTAGATCAATTTAGGGTATATTTAACAATTTTAAGGCTTCCAGTCCATTACCATGGGAAATTTTTATTTATGTTTTTAATGTCTTTTAATACTGACAAGTCTTGCATTCCTTTGATTGAATTTATTCCTAAGTATTTTATTCTTTTTGGTACTTTTGTGAATGGAAGTGTTTTCTTAATTTCATTTTCAGGTTGTCTATTGCTAGTGGATAGAAATTCAACTGATTTTTGTGTATTGATCTTGTATCTTACAACCCTGCTGAACTCATTTATTAGCTCTAATAGTTTTAGTTTTGTGTAAGTATGTATGGATTCCTTAGGGTTTTATAAATGAACGATCATGTCACACTCAAATAGGATAGATTAACTTCTTCCCTTACAAGCTGGATGTCTTTTCTTTCTTTTTCTTGTCTCATCACCCAGGATAGAATCTCCAGTACAATGCTCATTAGATCTGTGAATATTAAGATTCATCCCTTACTTCAAGTGTCTTTTGTCAAATATCTGAATACTACATCTCCACCAGTTTCCTACTCTTTTCCTTGGAATTTCTATCAGATAAATAATGACCTAGGTCGGGTGCAGTGACTCATGCCTGTAGTCTCAGCACTTTGGGAGGCTGCGGCGGGTGACCACCTGAGGTCAGGCGTTCGAGACCAACCTGGCCAACATGGTGAAACTTCATCTCTATTAAAAATACAAAAATTAGCTGGGAGTGGTGGCAGGTGCCTGTAATCTCAGCTACTCAGGAGGCTGAGGCAGGAGAATTGCTTAATCCTGGGAGGCGGAAGTTGCAGTGAGCCGAGATTGCGCCACTGCACTCCAGCCTAGACGACAGAGTGAAACTCTGTCTCAAAAAAAAAAACAAAAAACAAAAAAAACACACAACAAGAAAACACCTAGATCTTGCATACATTCCATCTCTTTACATATCTTTTATTCTGGGGAATTTCCACAAATCTATCTTCAAGTTCATTATTTACTCTTTTGGTTATAACTAATCTGTAGTTTAGTCTACCAAGTATTAGATGTCAATGGATATATTTTTTACTTCTGGGTTCTCTGTGGTCCTTTTTCCAATATTGTTCTTTTGGTTTCAATTCCTTCTTTTATGTCTAATGATTTTTTTTTTTTTTTTTTTGAGATGAGTTTTGCTTTTGTTGCCCAGGCTGGAATGCAATGGCATGATCTCAGCTCGCTGCAACCTCCATCTCCGGGGTTCAAGGGATTCTCCTGTCTCAGCCTCCCAGGTAGCTGGGATTACAGGCGCTTGCCACCATGCCTGGCTAATTTTTGTATTTTTAGTAGAAATGGGGTTTCATATTGGTCAGGCTGGTCTCGAACTCCTGACCTCGTGATCCACCCACCTCAGCCTCCCAAACTGCTGGGATTACAGGCGTGAGCCATCATGCCCAGCCTTTATGTCTAATGATTTTAAACATAATTTTCTATTCTCTTTCTGATTATGATACCATTATTGCAAATTCTGAACTTTAATTTTCCTGTTAGTTGTATGTGTTAACTCTTGTTCATGGTGGATTACTTCTTTACATTTTATAATTTTTACTGTAAGCTCACCACTAACAGGGCTTGTTTAGCTGTTAGTGGTGTTGCTGTTAGTGTTAGGGAATAATGAAGAATTGTTGCCTCACTGTCTCTAACAAAACAGACTGTGACAAGAAACAGAAAGTAGAAGGTGGTTACCAGGGTCTGGGGAAGGAAGATGAGAGTTGTTTAATGAGTACACGATTTCAGTTTTGCAAGATGAAAAGTTCTGGAGACTGGTTGCACAACAATGTGAATACAGTTACCACTACTGAACTGTACACTTAAAAATGATTAAGGAGGAGGCCGGACGCGGTGGCTCACCCCTGTAATCCCAGCACTTTGGGAGGCTGAAGTGGGCGAATCGCCTGAGGTCGGGAGTTTGAGACCAGCTTGACCAACATGGAGAAACCCTGTCTCTGCTAAAAATACAAAATTAGCCAGGCGTGGTGGTGCATGCTTGTAATCCCAGCTACTCGGGAGGCTGACGCAGGAGAATTGCTTGAACCCGGAAGGTAGAAGTTGCGGTGAACTGAGATCACACCATTGCACTCTAGCCTGGGCAACAAGAGCGAAACTCCATCTCAAAAAAAAAAAAAAAAAAAAAAAAAAAAGATTAAGGAGGCAAGGCACGGTGGCTCATGCCTTTAATCCCAGCACTTTGGGAAGCCGAGGCAGGTGGATCATCTGATGTCAGGAGTTTGAGACGAGTCTAGCCAACATGGCAAAACCCTATCTCTACTAAATATACAAAACTTAGCTGGGCGTGGTGGCAGGCGCCTGTAATCCAAACTACTTGGGAGGCTGAAGCAGAAGAATTGCTTGAGCCCAGGAGGCAGAGACTGCAGTGAGCCAAATGACACCACTGCAGTCCAGCCTGGGAGACAGAGCAAGACTCTGTCTCAAAAAAAAAAAAAAATGTTAAGGAAGCCAAGTGCAGTGGCTCATGCCTGTAATCCCAGCACTTTGGGAGGCTGAAGTGGGAGGATCACTTGAGCTCAGGAGTTCAAGACCAGCCTGGGCAACATGGTGAAACCCATCTCTACAAAAAAATACACAAGTTAGCCAGGCATGGTGGCTGGCTATTATATGTATGTCGTCCACATACATATAAGCACATACTGAAAATTCCTTAATTAACTATCATACATCTACTATTAATGGCCCCTAAAACAGAAGAAACACCTGCCAAGTGGAATGAGATGACGGTTAGATCTACAGAGTCTCCTGCATGTGTTAGGTTTCCTGCTAAAAGGAGATCAACTGTTCAGCCAGTTCCAGCACCGGCTTCTGCTGTTGAGGATGCAAGTAAGAGTAGGAAAGAGATGGGGAGAAGTCAGAAGCTCATATTATTTATTTATTTATTTTTTATTTTTTATTTTTTTTTTTGAGACAGAGTCTCGCTCTGTCGCCCAGGCTGGCGTGCAGTGGCCGGATCTCAGCTCACTGCAAGCTCCGCCTCCTGGGTTCACGCCATTCTCCTGCCTCAGCCTCCCGAGTAGCTGGGACTACAGGCGCCCGCCACCTCGCCCGGCTAGTTTTTTGTCTTTTTTAGTAGAGACGGGGTTTCACCGTGTTAGCCAGGATGATCTCGATCTCCTGACCTCGTGATCCGCCCGTCTCGGCCTCCCAAAGTGCTGGGATTACAGGCTTGAGCCACCGCGCCCGGCCTAGAAGCTCATATTATTTATCCGGAGAAATGCCATATCGGGTGCACCAATTATTAGAGGGACTAGCCAGTTGCCGAAACCTCCGATTATGATTCGTATTACCATAAAGAATATTCTGACGACTGCGTGGGTGGTAACAATAACGTTGTAGATCTGATCATCTCCTAGCCGAGTTCCTGGTTGGCCTAATTCTGCTCGAATTAGAAGGCTTAAGGCGGTGCCCACTATCCCCACTCCTGCGCCTAATAGCAGGTATAGTGTTCCGATATCTTTGTGGTTAGTTGAAAACAATCAACGACTGATGAACCTAAGTGGGAAAAAGGTAAAATGGCTGAGTAAGCATGAGACTGTAAATCTAAAGACAGAGGTCAAGGCCTCTTTTTACCAGCCCTGAAGTGATTTCTCATGTTGAATTAACAAATTGAAAGGAGCAGCTTCAATCCTGCCGTGGCTTCTGCCACCTTTCTCCCCTCAGCGGTGGGAGAGGTAGATTGAAGCCAATTGATTAGGGTGTTCAGATGTTAACTAAATTTTCGTGGGTTTGAATTCCACCAGCCTAGCCAGGGCTTAGCTTCATTAAAGTGGTGGAAATTCTAAATTTCTAAGTATTAATGGAGAGATGGGTAAGAGGAGGGTAGAAGAAATGGTAAGTGGGGGGAGGAGTAGTACGGGTTTTGTGTTTTCGAATTGTCATTTTATTTTCATGTTATTAGATGTGGAGAATATTGTCACTGAGATGGAATAAATTAGGCATATGTAAACGTACAGGCTGAGTAGGGTTATGGTAGCTATAATGATGGGGGTAATAAGACTATTGCTTTTTGTAAATTCTTGAATAATGACTTATTTAAGTAAAAATCCTGTTAATGAGGGTAAACCTCCTAGGGATAGTAGAATTAGTGGAATTATAGGTGTTAATCATGTTAATTTGTTTCAGGCATGAGATCGTGAAAGAACTGTAGTGCTTATACTCAGGTTGAGCGCTAGAAATGCAGTAGTTGTTAAAGTGAAGTCAATAATCAGGTTTAGAATGGTAATTTGGGGGTCATAAATTAGTACTGCTATTATTCAACCTATGTGAGTAATTGAGGAGTAGGCTAGGATTTTACTCAGTTGTGTCTAAGTTCTCTTCAACTGCCCACTATAATGGATAAGATTGTGATAGATAGGAGGGTGTTCATGTTTATTGATGGGGAAAATTTGAAACATAATCAAGATAGGCGCTAGTTTTTGTCATGTGAGGAGAAGTATGCCAGACATTAGAGAGGTTTCTTGGGTTACCGCTGGGACCTAGAAGTGAAAGGGGGCTATTCCTAGTTTTATTACTAGGGCCATTATTATTGTTAAGGATGAAAATTGATTACTAGTGTTTATTCTTTTTCATTGTCCGGAGGACAGGTTATTGGAAAGGATACCCATCATGAGAATTATAGATGTGGTTGTTTGTGTAAGGAAGTATTTGGTGGCTGCTTCTGTAGAGCGGGGATTTATTTTTTTTAATTAAGATTGGGGTAAAAGCTAGTATGTTTATTTCTCGGCCTATTCAGATGAGAAATCAGTGTGAGCCCAGCATTGTGATAAGAGTTTCTCTGAAAATAGTAGGGTAGATAAAAAGATGAGCTAATGGATTAATTGGCACGGGAAGGGTATGACCAACATTTTCGGGGTATGGGCCCGATGGCTTATTTAGCTGACCTTACTTTAAGATGTGGTGTAATAGATAGCATGGAGAATTTTGGATTCTCAGGGGTAGGTTCAATTCCTATCGTTCTAGAAATAAGAGGATTTTAACCTCTATTGTTTACTCTATCAAAGTAATTCTTTTGTCAGACATATGTTCTATGTTTGAGGTGGGACGCTGGAAATTAGGATAGGCATTGAGATATAACATATGCAGAATGCTAGTTTAAGTGGTAGGAAGTTTTTTCATAGAAGATATATGAGTTGGTCATAGTGGAATCGGGGGTATGCTGTTCGAATTCATAAAAACGGTGGTTAGAAGGAGGGTCTTGGTAATGAAATTTGTGATATAGAGTTCTGGTGAATGAATATATAGTGTGTAGTGCTCCTAGGAAAATAGTAGTAGTTAGGGCATTTATTACGATAATATTCATGTATTCTGCTATAAAGAAGAGGGCAAATGAACCTGCGGCATATTCAATGTTGAAGCCTGAGACTAACTCTGACTCTCCTTCTGTTAGATTAAAACGGGCTCGGTTAGTGTCTGCTACTGTGGAGATAAATTATATTCTGGCTGGGGGCATGATGGTAGGAGCAGTCAGAGGAATTCTTGCATTGTGATGAGTGCATATAAGTTAAATGAGCCACTTAAGTAGAACTAACAGCAGGATGATGGCTAGGGTGACCTCATACGAAATTGTCTGGGCCACAGCTCGTAATGCACCAATCAGTGCATAATTTGAATTAGATACTCATCCTGATCATAGAATAGACGGTTAGGCTTGATGTGGCTAGTATAAATAGGAGGCTTATATTAAAATTAATTAGAGTATCTGGTATAGGGAGGGGAGTTCACAAGAGGACAGCGATAGAAAGGGCCAGGGTTGGAGCAGTAACATAAAGGGTAATAGCAGATGTTGAGGGCCATAAGGGTTCTTTGGTGAAAAGTTTTATTGCGTCAGGGAGTGGTTGAAGCAGTCCGTAGGGACCTACAAGGTTAGGTCCTTTGCATAGTTGTATATAGCCTGAGATTTTCCGTTCAATGAGTGTAAGGAATGCTATAGCGATTAGAGTAGGAATGATGAGTAGGAGAAGGTGAATTATAGGCCCGTTGTTAAGAAGAGGACTTGAACCTCTGATTATAAAGTTTTAAGTTTTATGCAATTGCTGGACTCTGCCATCTTAACAAACCCTGTTGTTGGGTTGGGTGTATGATGATCTGTTTGACTGAGATAACATCATCTATGGGGTGAGGGTGCTTTATGAAGTGGGCCCTATTTCTCTTATCCTTTTGTAATAGGAGAAATGTTAAATAGACAGAAACTGACTTGGATTACTCCAATCTGAACTCAGATCATGTAGGATTTTAATCATAAAACAAACGAACCCTTAATAGCGGCTACACCATTATTAGCATGTCCTGATCCAACATCAAGGTCGTAAATCCTATTGTCAATATGAACTCTAGATTAGGATTGTGCTGTTATCCCTAGGGTAACTTATTTGGTTGATCAAATTATTGGGTCAATGTGTATTAACTCGCTTAGACTAGCGCAGTCTTAGTTTAGGTTGTTCGGAGGTTGGATTATGCTCCGAGGTCACCCCAACCAAAATTTTTAATGCAGGGATAGTAGGCTAGGGTCTGTAGGCTTTTTTTGAATTTTTATTTGCATTAATAAATTAAAACTTCATAGGGTCTTCTCTTATATCCACCTCTTCACGGATAAGTCAATTTCACTGATTAAAAGTAAGAGACAGTTGGCCGGGCACAGTGGCTCACGCCTGTAATCAAAAAAAAAAAAAAAATAGTAATAGACAGCTGAACCCTCATGTAGCCATTCATACAAGTCCCTATTTAGGGAACAAGTGATTATGCTGCCTTTGCATGGTCAGGATACCGCAGCTGTTGAACGTATGTCACGGAGCAGGCAGTGCCTCTAATACTGGTAATACTAGAGGTGATGTTTTTGGTAAACAGGCAGGGTAAGATTTGCTGAGTTCCTTTTACTTTTTGTAATCTTTCCTTAGAGCATACCTGTGTTGGATTAACAGTATAAATAATAGGGTGCTTATTAATATTAGGCTTTCAATGGGTTATTCCGATCTGATGTAAGCTTATGCAATGGAGAATATCTTCATGTTACTTACATTAACATTATTGCTTCTATTAAGTAATAGATTAGTCCAATGTGATGTTAGGAGTTCAGTAGAGTGATTAGAATTTAAGATAGATAGGCCAGGCGCGGTGGCTCAAGCCTGTAATCCCAGCACTTTGGGAGGCCGAGACGGGCGGATCACAAGGTCAGGAGATCGAGACCATCCTGGCTAACACGGTGAAACCCCGTCTCTACTAAAAAATACAAAAACCTAGCCGGGCGAGGTGGTGGGCGTCTGTAGTCCCAGCTACTAGGGAGGCTGAGGCAGGAGAATGGCGTGAACCCGGGAGGCAGAGCTTGCAGTGAGCTGAGATCCGGCCACTGCACTCCAGTCTGGGCAACAAAGCGAGACTCTGTCTCAACAAAAAGAAAAAAAAAAAAAAAAAAAAAAAAAGAATTTAAGATAGATAGATGTTGAGCTTGAATGCTTTCTTAATTGTTGGCTGCTTTTGGGCTAACTGTGGTGGTAATATTTTTTACTCTCTGTTGGAAGGCTGTTTCCTATGGTTTAAAGAGCTATCCCTCTTTAACAGTTAAACTTTTTTTTTTTTTTTTTTTTTTTTGAGATGGCGTCTCGCTCTGTCACCCAGGCCGGAGTGCAGTGGTGTGATCTTGGCTCACTGCAAGCTCCGCCTCCTGGGTTCACGCCATTCTCCTGCCTTGGCCTCCCTAGTAGCTGGGACTATAGGCACCCGCCACCTTGCCCCAGCACGCCTAGCTAATTTTTTGTATTTTTAGTAGAGACGGGGTTTCACCATGTTACTCAGGATGGTGTCGGTCTCCTGACCTCGTGATCCGCCTGTCTCGGCCTCCCAAAGTGCTGGGATTACAGGCGTGAGCCACTGCACCCGGCCTACTCTACAACCTTTTTAGGGTTTGCTGAAGATGGCGGTATACAGGCCGGGGGCAAGAAGTGGTGAGGTGTATCGGGGTTTATAGATTATAGAACAGGCTCCTCTAGAGGGATATAAAGCACCACCAAGTCCTTTGAGTTTTAAGCTGTTGCTTGTAGTATTCTGGTTAATGGTTTTGTTAATGTAACTATTAATTAGAGTTTAGGGCTAAGCATAGTGGGGTATCTAATCCCAGCATGGGTCTTAGCTATTGTATCTTCAGGGTATTAAAGCCACTTTCCTAGTATATTTTATTTCAGCTGGAGTTTGTTACAACTTAGATGGAGTTTAGCTTTATTGAGGCCAGACCTTAAACACTCTTTACGCAGAGTTCTATTAACTTGGGTTAATCGTATGGCCACGGTGGCTGGCACGAAATTGACCAACCCTAGATATCAGCATAAACTTTCACTTATTAATAATGATTTATCATTGCTGTTTCCCATGGGAGTGTGGTTGAGCAAAGTGTTTTGAGCTGCATTTATGCGTGCTTGATACCTGCTTCTTTTGATCTGGGTGATCTAGAAGGCATTTTTCACGGGGGCGTGGGTGCTTGCATGTATAATCTTACTAAAAGCTAATAGAAAGGCCAGGACCAAACCTATCTGTTTATGGGGTTGTGCAGGCCCATCTAGACATTTTCAGTGTCTTGCTTTGAATAATTAAGCTACATTAACTGCATAAATACTTATGTAAAATTAAAATATGAGAAGGAAAGAAGTAAGTATAAATAGTCGTTTACAGTTCTGGGAATTCAGGGTCTTTAAAGTTGAGTTAGCAGAGGTTTGGCTGAGAGGACCACTCATAATTCGGACATAATTGATTTAGGGTATGGTGTATGGGGTAGCACTTTCAGAGGGGTACGCTCAAGGTATTATATCAGTATTAGGGTGGAAATTTAGTGATTGTATTTGTTATATAAAATGGAGGCTTAATTTAGTAGGAGGATCTTAAGATTTTTAGGAAAATGACATCCATCGAGGGGCGGCTGTTGGGGTATTCATGGTTAAAATATGATTTCTGGGCTCTGACTGGGTTGCATTTTAGTCTCTTGTTTTTGCGGATTTAATGGAAATCGTTCTTGAAAGTGAGCGGACATGCGTGAGCATACGTGCCTATTGATTAATTGTTATGTCTTTCAAGCATGAATTAATTGATACCTTATGCTTATTATGCCAGCCTGGAATATTCAATATAAGCTCAGCTTCTACAATTGATTTAGCAGGAATCAAATCCAAGTTCATCTATGGCGGATTCGGAGGGGACTAGGCCTTACGCAATGGTGAGTGACAGCATCCCCCAAAGTTAAAAATACGAAACGCAAGACAGCGCTCCCGTGACTGGTTAATAGGGTGGTAGTCATTAGTCCATCGAGATGTCTTATTTAAGGGGAACATGTAGGTGATCTTAGTTTTATGGCCCTGAAGTAAGAACCAGATGCCAGGTATAGTTTCAGGACAGTCGCCCCCAAGTGTTATGGGCCTGGAATGAGGAGGGTAGCACTCCCCAGCGGGATGATGATTTCTCGGAGGCTGGTAGATTAAGAGACCAAAACCTGGCAGGGATATCCATGTTGACAAGAGATTTCTTGACTGAAATGTGCCATGTCCAATGAACGAATATATGCACTATGCAATATTAAGAATTTCTAGTACGGATCAATATTCGTATGGATCAGGTTTTGTTGTACAGTCAATAATAGTATATATACGCATATATATGTGTACATATACATACACACACACACACACACACACACACACAAATGGCCCATAATCCCACTGCTGAGATGGCCTCAGTTGACCTTTTAAAAACAAAACAAACAAGAAACAAACAAAACAAAGGGGATATCTGCACTGGGTTGGGACATTCAAAAAGCATCAAAAGGCAAACAGGTATTACTGCTACAGTTGCTCAAGCCAGAAACTCTGCAGTCTGTGACCCTTCTCCTTCACTGTCTTGTATTCCACAACCAAACCCTGATCATAACCTGTCGATTCTGCCTCTACACATAACTGATCCACTCCCTTCTCTCCTCCCCCACCAGCAGCCTCCTGCTTGTTCCCCTGGACGATTCCAACAGGCTTCTTCGCCATCCCAACTCCCACCCACACCTGTGCCCCTCTAAGCCCACTTCTACGTGGCACCAAGAATGGCTGTTTCCTTCTGGAGCCTACAGGCCCTGCATGCTGCCTCCAGCCTCCCTCTACCCTCCTCTCCTCACTAACCCTTCACCTCTTCCACGCCAGGTGCTTGGACCCATTGCAGAGCCTTGGCCCAGGCTGAGCAGTTGGTTCCTGCGCACAGACTCCCAAGCTGGCTCCTCTCATCCTTCAAGTCTCAGCTTAAACAGCAATAAAGAAAGACCGTTCCTGACTACCCAAGCCAAAAAGGTGTCATCTCGGTTTTCATGCATCTCAGTCCTACTTTTGCTTTGTTTTTGTTTTTGTTTTTGTTTTGAGATGGAGTTTCACTTTTGTCGCCCAGGTTGGAGGGCAGTGGCGCAATCTCAGCTCACTGCAACCTCCACTTCCCAGGTTCAAGCAGTTCTCCTGCCCAGACTCCTGAGTAGCTGGGATTACAGGCGCGCACCACCACACCCAGCTAATTTTTGTATTTTTAATAGAGACAGGGTTTCACCATGTTGGTCCAGCTGGTCTTGAACTCCTCACCTCAGGTGATCTGCCCTCCTCAGCCTCCCAAAGCGCTGGGATTACAGGCGTGAGCCACCGCACCTGGCCCTGCTTTTGCTTTTAAATGTTACCTATCACATACATTTACGACGCTCTCACTCATCCATGTACTTGCTTCATCTCTGTCTCCCTATTGGGCCATGAGCCACAGAGGGCAGGAGCTGACCCCATCTCACACCCCACTGCATCCTAGCACCAACTCCACGTCAGGCGAACATATGTGCCAGGCGTCGTGGTGAGTGTTGCATATGCATTCTCATTCAGTCTTCACCTGCAAACTAGGTTGTTTCCCCTCCCTCCCCATTTTGTATATGAGGAAACTAAAGCTTGGAAAGGTTAAGTAACAAGCCCAGGTCACACAGTTGGGGAACGACGTGGCCAGGACAGCTCCGTGTGTCTGGCCCCGTCTATGCTGTCCCCACTGCACTGTCCTCTCTCGCTTGTGCTGCCTGGTTCCTCCCTTCCCATGGTGCACATCTGCTGAGTGAATGCAATGACAGTGGCACAGCAGGTTTAAGCAGAGAAGGTGCCAGGTCCCGTCCCGAGTCTCACCCGAGTTCTTACCATGTAGGCCACCAATGCCAGCTCATAGATGATGCCCTGGGCACCGAGCTCCGTCATGTCAATCAGTCCTGAAACGTCAGCACACACAAAACACATTTCAAAAAGTATATAAACATTTTCCTTATGAAACTAGAACTTATTTTAAGAGAACCTAAGAATGCCCTCAAGAAGCATAACTTGGTGGCAGAATTCACCACGTGTGCTGAGAAGCCCAGACATCCTGCCCTGAGCAGTTGCCATGACCATGATCTCAGGCAGCTCAGATGTAACACAGGTTCATTCTACAAATCCCTACTCCACTAGGGAACAAAACATTAGGTTCAAAGTAGAAAAAAGAATGGCCAGGTGCAGTGGCTCACACCTGTAATCCCAGTACTTTGGGGGGCTGAGGTGGCAGGATCACCTGAGCCCAGGAGTTTGAGACCAGCCTGAGCAACATAGTGAGAACCCCATCTCTACAAAAAAAAAAAAAAAAAAAAAAAAAAAAATTCCCAAAAAATTAGTTGGGCATGGTGGCACACTCCTGTAGTCCCAGCTACTCAGGAGGCTGAGGCCAGAGGATCACTTGAGCCCAGAAGGTCGAGGCTGTAGTGAGCCCTGATGGCACCACTGCACTCCAGCTTGGGTGATGGACTGAGACCCTACCCCACCCCCAAAAAGCAAAAGAAAGTGAGGCTGTAAGAGTTGCAAGTCACCCCCTAGAGAGACATGGGGTCACATGGTGGGAGGGGAGGCGGAGGCTGCAGAACTCTACAGATAGCTGATGGGACTGTTGATGTGTGCGAGTGTCCATAGAAATGGCAACGTTGGCCGGGCGCGGTGGCTCAAGCCTGTAATCCCAGCACTTTGGGAGGCCGAGACGGGCGGATCACAAGGTCAGGAGATCGAGACCATCTGGCTAACACGGTGAAACCCCGTCTCTACTAAAAAATACAAAAAAAACTAGCCGGGCGAGGTGGTGGGCGTCTGTAGTCCCAGCTACTAGGGAGGCTGAGGCAGGAGAATGGCGTGAACCCGGGAGGCAGAGCTTGCAGTGAGCTGAGATCCGGCCACTGCACTCCAAGCCTGGGCGACAGAGCCAGACTCCATCTCAAAAAAAAAAAAAAAAAAAAAAAAGAAATTTGGCTTGGGCTGGTGCGGTGGCTCATGCCTATAATCCCAGCACTTTGGGAGGCCAAGGCAGGTGGATCACTCGAGGTCAGGAGTTCCAGACCAGCCTGGCCAACATGGTGAAACCCCATCTCTACCAAAAATACAAAAATTAGCCAGGCATGGCATGGCTATAGTCTCAGCTACTTGGGAGACTAAGGCAGGAGAATCGCTTGAACTAGGGAGGCAGAGGGTGCAGTGAGCCGAGATCGCGCCACTGTATGCCAGCCTGGGTGACAGAGCGAGTCTCTGTCTCAAAAAAATAAATAAATAAAAATTAAAAACCAATTTGGCTTGATGCCTGGCCAAAGTCAGCTGAGGCACAAGCTACTTCATGAGGCCTGGGGTCGGGCTTTTGTTCCTTCAGTTCGTGACCTCTGGCAAACCTCTGACCAGCAGCTTCCCTTTCCTCACTTACAAAATGACGGGTGCTGCAGTAGAGCCAAAACCCCACCCAGCCTGAGTCTGCTAACGATGGGATGAGGGCTTAAACCTATATTGAAAACCTCCATGAGAGCCTAATGAAATGAGGCAGGACAAAGCAGCAAAGCTGGAGTTTCCTGGGAATCTCTGGAGACCTGACTGGCCGGGCTGAGGACAGCTTTCGGCTGGACTGCTGACAAACCTGCAAGGAAGTTTCCGATCTCAAAGGTCCACCGCTCAATGCACACCATGAACATACTGGGAATAACCAGGCAGATGTAGGAGCCCCACTCCTGGAAGCACTCCCTTGTCCAACCTAGTGAACAGGAAAGAAAACAGGCGTTTGCTTTTCAACAGTCTCTGGCACCAACAATTCTGTTTCACATACCCGTACCCCGCAAATGGCCAGAGACTAGGTGCAACCTCAGTTCTCCAGCAAAGTATAAAGATGCCAAACGGGTTGAGATGGCAGGCCCTAAGCTGGCAAGACTCAGTAGATGCCCCTTCACCCACACATTCTACTCCCGGGCATAAATGGCAGAGGGATTTTTGTAGACCTCTGTAAAAACACATGTAGAAAGCCAGGCGCGGTGGCTTACGCCTGTAATCCCAGCACTTTGGGAGGCCAAGGTGGGTGGATCACGAGGTCAGGAGTTCAAGACCAGCCTGGCCAACATGGTGAAACCCCGTCTATACTAAAGATACAAAAAATTAGCCGGGTGTGGTGGCACACGCCTGTAAATCCCAGCTACTCAGGAGGCTGAGGCAGGAGAATCGCTTGAACTCGGGAGGCGGAGGTTTCAGTGAGCTGAGATCGCACCACTGCATTCCAGCCTGGGCAACAGGGTGAGACTCCTCTCAAAAAAAAAAAAAAAAAAAAGACATGTAGAATATTCACTGTGGCAGACATTAGTTGAGGGGTGTGGGAGACAACACGGAACTAGAGGAGTAAAATATGATAGATGTACATTATGATTAAAAGCAAAATTGATGTATATATAGCAATGTGGATATTTAAAATACATAGTGCTCACAGGCAACAAAAGTAAACATAGATAAATTGGACTACATCAAAATAAAAAACTTGTGTGTATCAAAGGACACAATCAGCAGAGTGAAAGGGCAACCCATGGAATGGGAGAAAATATTTGCAAATCATATAAGGATATCTGGATATCATAATGTCCAGAATACATAAAAAAATTTCTATGGCCAGGCGCAGTGGCTCACGCCTGTAATCCCAGCACTTTGGGAGGCCAAGGCGGGTGAATCACCTGAGGTCAGGAGTTCAAGACCAGCCTGGCCAACATGGTAAAGTCCTGTCTCTACTAAAAATACAAAAAATTAGCCAGGCATGGTAGTGGGCGCCTGTGATCCCAGCTACTCAGGAGGCTGAGACAGGAGAATCACCTGAACCTGGGAGGTGGAGGTTGCAGTGAACCGAGATCACGCTACTGCACTCCAGCCTAGGCAACAGAGCGGGACTCCATCTCAAAACAAAAACAACAACAACATCAGCAACAAAATTCCTACACTCAACAACAAAAAAAGAAGTAACCTGGTTTAAAAAAGGGAGGGCAACAGACTTGAAGAGACATTTCTCCAAAGATGATATATAAATGGTCAACAAATATATGAAAAAATGCTCAACATCAGTAATCTGAAGGAAATGCAAATCAAAACCAAAGTGAGACATCACATCATACCCATTAGGATGGCCACTATCAAAAAACCCAGAAAATAACAACTGTTGGTGAGGATGTGGAGCACTAGACCCCTTGTGCACCGTTGGTGGGAATGGTGCAGCTGATGTGGAAAAACAGTATGATAATTCCTCAAAAAATTAAAAATAGAATCCCCATATGATCCAGTAATTCCGCTTCTGAGTATATGCTCCAAAGAATCAAAAGAAAGGTCTTGAAGAGATATTTGAACACCCATGTTCAAAGCAGTACTATTCACAAAAGCCAAAAGGTTGGAGCAACCCTTGTGTCTATCAGTGCATGAATGGATAAAACAAAGGTGGCATATACATACAATGGAATACAATTCAGCCTTAAAAAGGAAGGGAATTCTGAAATGTGTTAAACAAGGATGAATCTTGAGAACATTATGCTGAGTGGGTGGGTAACAAAACGACAAATACCATATGACCTTCAATTATATGATGAATCAAGAATAGTTAAACTCATAAGAACAGAAAGTAAAATGGTGGCTGCCAGGGGTTCAGGGGCAGGGAGGAATGGGGAGTTGTATAATGAGCACATAGTTTCAGTTTTGCAAACTGCAAAAGTTCTAGAGGTGGGAGATGGTGATGGCTTTACAACAATGTGAATGGACTTCATGCCACTGACCATACACATAAGAATGGTTAAAATGATAAATTTTGTGTTATGCATATTTTACCACAATTAGAAAAAATATAAAAAGAAAACAATGTGCAAAGTCAGGGGTTAATGAACTTTTTCTGTAAAGGGCCAGATGGTAAATATTTTCTACTTTGCAGGCCAAATGGTCTCTGTGGCAACCACTCAACTTTGCTCTAGCAGCCTAAGAACAGCCATGGGCAACATGTAAGTGATTACACATGGCTGTGTTTCAATAACACTTTATTTAAAAAAACTGGCCGCAAGTTCATGGGTTTGCCAACATCTGTGCTAAGTGAAAAGGTTTACAAAAAAGAAAGAAGTCTAGCCAAGTGTGGTGGCTCACGCCTGTAATCCCAGTACTTTGGGAGGCTGAGGCGGACAGATCACTTGAGGCCAGGAGTTCAAGACCAGCCTGGCCACCATGGGGAAACCCCATCTATACTAAAAATACAAAAATTAGCCAGACATGGTAGTGGGTGCCTGTAATCCCAGCTACTCTGGAGGCTGAGGCAGGAGAATCACTTGAACCTGGGAGGCGGAGGTGGCACTGAACTGAGATCACGCCACCGCACTCCATCCTGGGCAACAGAGCAAGAATCTGAAGAAAAGAGGAGGGAAAAGGAGGGGAGGGGAGGGAAAAGAAGTCTAAACTATAACACTATATTAGGTAAATATAAACATATATATACAGACAAAAAAAATTTTTTTTAAGATGCATATTAAAAGATATATGTCACTGGCTGGGCACGGTGGCTCATGCCTGTAATCCCAGCACTTTGGGAGGCTTAGGCAGGAGGATCAATCGAGGCCAGGAGTTCAAGACCAGCCGGGGCAATATAGTGAAACCCTGTCTCTACTAAAAATAGAAAAATGATCCTGCTGTGGTGGTGCACACCTCTAGTCCTAGCCACTCAGGAGACTGAGGTGGGAGAATCACCTGAGCCTGGGATATGGAGAGTTCAGTGAAGCCAGATTGTGCCACTGCACTCCAGCCTGGGCCACAGAGCAAGACCCTGTCTCAAAAAAAAGTGTGTGTATATATATATATATATATATATATATATATATATATATATATATATAAATAAACACAGAGAGAGTGCCTTGAGGGAGGAGAATGGAAACTTTGAAATGAAGGTAGAAATACCCTAAAATGGTAAAATGGGACAGGGATAATGGAAGGAATGATGACATCAGCATGCCATGAATGTGAGTATGAGAAACTCAGTGCTTTGCATCTGAGGTTCAGGACTGGAGGGGGAGGGGGAGAAGGGAGGAGTCAGGCATTGAAAAACACCGAGAATTTCTGCAACATAAAAGCAAAGAAGGCACCAAGAGCCAATCGGCAACTTACCTTATCGGGAAGCAATATGGTCTGCTCTAGGAAAGAAGAAGAGCCGGCCCTCACCCCATAACTGCAGACTTGGAAGTGAAGGTTTGAGGGAAGAACAACATGAAGAACAATAGAGAATGAGCTACATGCACTGTGATGGCTACGAATGGTGAGAAGGTGAGAGCGAGTCAAAGCATAGGTCCCAGTGAGCAGGGACTTAGGAGCCAGGAGAGCGGTGTCCCCCATCCTTGTGTAAACGAGGACCAGAAAACCTGCCTGCCGGCCTGCAGTCATGGCACAAGCGCGCTGCCTATCCCAAGCCACTAGCAAAAGGGTCACTGTGCACAGGACAGAGGCCTGAAGCCAGAGCACAGTCACAGTGAGGAAACCCTGAACTAAGACACTGGTTCTAGAGCAAGGATATTTCACAAGACCTGAGCAGATGTAACCCTAAAAAAATGGACGGGGCACACATGCGACGCACAGGAACACAACCCCCTCGAAAGAGAAGGGCACGGACAAAGCCATAAGGAAGTCAGTCAAAACTACGGTCTCAGGTGGCAGGCATCCATCTGACACTGCTGAGTAAACTCGAATACTGTATTTCATCATGTCAATGAGGTCATTATGTGCCGAAAACAGTTTGACAATTAAACTGTGACATAAGATCTTAAGACATCAATTGAAAGATGAATTCCAATTTTAAAGACATTAAAATGGAAAAATTATGAGTCTTAGAATCAACAAAATACAGGTATAGATATGTTCCATGACTCAAGACATAAACAGATATTGAATCTGATACCAGGAAAGAAACGTCACAAAACCAGCACACAAAAGATTTCATACCCAGTGAAGTAGGAATAATAGGATAATCTGAAAAAAGATTTTAAATAAGCATTCTTAAAATGTTCAAAGGCAGGAGGTTTTGAAATAAGAATCAACAGATATAAAAAAGAACGAAGGGGCTGGGCATGGTGTCTCAGGCCTGTAATCCCAACACTTTGGAAGGCTGAGGCTGGTGGATTGCCTGAGGTCAGGAGTTCAAGATCAGCCTAGGCAACATGGCAAGACCCCGTCTCTACAAAAAAATACAAAAATTAGCTGGGTGTGGGTGGCACACACTTGTAGTCCCAGCTACTTGGGAGGCTGAAGTGGGAGGATCGCTTGAGCCTGGGAGGTGGCGGTTGCAGTGAGCCAAGATCACACCACTGTACTCCAGCCTGAGCAACAGAGTGAGGCCCTGTCTCAAAATAAGAGAGAGAAAAAAGAACTGAGTAAAATCTTAGACATAAAAAATATAATTATTCAAATTATAAACTGTTTTAAATATAAATAAAAGTGCTGGGATTGCAGATGTGAGCCACCACACTGGGCTTCACTTAGATTTCTATACCCAGCAATATTCAAGAGAAACATTCAAGAGAGCAGGCTGGGAGCAGTGGCTCACACCTGTAATCTCAGCGCTTTGGGAGGCAGAGGAAGGAGTACTGCTTGACTCCAGGAGTTTGAGACCAGCTTGAGAAAAAAAGTGAGACCCTGTCTCTTCAGAAAATTAAAAAAAAAAAAAAATTAGCCAGGTTTGGTGGCATATGCCTGTAGTCTGAGCTACTT